AGTAGAGATCAGCTGACTTCATCGTCTGTTTTCACCTTTTTTGTCTCAGATTCTTGCAAAGGTGTATTCATATGATTTGTATCCCTTGAAGTTATCTTTCATATGGAACTTGAATCGTGTCCATTGGTGGTTTGTACAAAGAGATATGCTTGAACGATTGACAGAAGGTCATCCTGATCGTCGTTTTCAAGCTTCATTCATCTTCTTTTGATCCCATAACCAATTCTAGAGCTCTTTTGTCATCAAATTTTCATCGTAAACCTCCCGGTGACCTCCAAGGCTCTCAAATCAATCTTGAATGATTCTCAAATCATCCCGATTGCTTCTCAAGCGCCAGTGCCAAACTCAAAAATCCTGATTTTGACTCCAAATGCAACAAAACTCGAACCAACGCCTGATAAACATAATTTGGGCTAAAATTGAGACTTGCAACACCTTAAAGCTAGGAAAACCATCAAAATCCAATCCCAACACGCATCAAATGCATGTCTAAATACAGACTTATCAAAAGGTATTTTATTAATCATCGTTTTTTATTATTATTGTTATGTTCATTAGTAACTTGTATTTTAACACAAATTACTTCTGCTGAAACTTGGATTAAAAGACCCAATTTTTTGTTGTTGCACAGGGTCCCCATATTATCGGTACCGGCCCTGGAACCAGACGTGATGCTGGATGATGGCACTGAGTCAGAAGATAAGAAGATGGTTTACCTGAGTGATATTGAAGACGACAATGAACAGCGCAAATATGATTTGGCTTTTCGATGTCAAGTGGCCTTAAATTTTCGAACAAATCATAGTTATGACAATAAACATGAAGTAGTGGTAATGTTGTTGAAGATTGAACTTGTTTTTATTGTAATATTTTGGGCCAAACTAAGATGTATTCAAATTGTTGTTGGAAATTCCCAAGTAGTAGAAAAGTGTAGATGAAATACATTCTAGAACTTCTCTAGAAGATAAAGTCTCTAGAATTTTATTATTATTAATTGTGTATAATCATATAAAGTGTATTAATTATAGAAGAGTTTAAATACTTTTCTACCAGTATAAATAAAACATTCTTTCAGCCAATTTGAATCAAACAAAGTTGAGTTGTTCTAATAAAAGAGTTTCTCCCCTTAGCTCAATCATATCATTTCTAATTAAGCCTGTCATTCTCCCAAATCTCCCTTTCAATTATTTCCAACATGGTATCAGAGCTTATTCGGTCATCACCCTTCAAGTTCCTCCACTAAAAATGAGAATTGTGATAATTGGAACATTGACATGAAAGCGATACATGAAAGTTCCGAATTTGGGGAATTGTGATAATTGGAACATTGACATGAAGGAGAATTGTTTTTCACTGTTTTTCTAGTCCGAATTTGACAAAACTTCCTTCATGAAAAATGTAGATAATAAAGTCCTCTATCCACCACAACTTACGGAGTTGGATTTGACTCATCCAATCATGAGATATGAATAAAATGGTTGAAAGTGGCATTCTGAAATCGCAACAGAGATCATCTGATTTCATAGTCTGTTTTCACCTTGCTCCTCTCCGATTCCCGCAATGGTGTCTTCATATGATTTGTAGCCCTTGAAGTTGGCTTTCATATGCAACTTGAATCGTGTCCTTTGGATGCTTCTACAACGAGATATGCTTGAACGATTGACAGAAGGTCATCCTGATCATCGTTTCCCAGCTTCATTATCTTCTTTTGATCCCACAGCCAATCCCGGAGCTCTTTGTCATCAAACCTTCATCGTGAACCTCCCGCTGACCTTCAGAGCTCTCAATCCACTCTCGAATGCATCTCGAATCATCCCAATTGCTCCTCAAGCGTCGGTGCCGAACTCTAAATTCCTGATTTTGACTCCAAATGACACAAAACTCGAACCAACGCCGGTAAACATAACTTGAGCTAAAATTGAGACTTGTAACACCTTAAAGCTAGGAAAACCATCACAAGTCGATCCCAACACGCATCAAATGCGTGTCAAGATATGGACTTATCAAATTCCCCCACACTTAAGCCTTTGCTTGTCCTCAAGCAAACTCAACAACGGGACTTACGATAATCAACACACAGAATTAAAATTATTAGCATGCATAAGTAGTTAAAGGGATATTGACATAACAAACAGACTAAACCAAGAAAATTCTTCCCTAAAAAACATCTTTGTACTCAAGCTAATATTAATGACAAAAGTATTCACAACATCCTCAAAGTAGTGACAACAAGCACTAATAAATTAGCTAATGATCAAAAGGGCTTGCGATGGTGGTGGTGATTGTTGAAGGATAAATAGTTCCTTTCTTGAGAGTTTAGAACATCCTAACAAAGACTCAATGAATTCAGGAATTTTAAGGCTATTCTTAGGATCAAGGAATTCAGTAGGCCACTAATTAGGAATTATCATGGAAACCTATGCAAAGAATAGACATGGTGTACAACTAAGCTAAACCGTCGCGACACATTGGTGCTTTGACGTACACTTGAAGTACACGAAGGACTAAAGCTAATTTTGCAATAGCCTCCAAATTCAATTAATTAGGTTCAGTTTTCCTTGTCATGTTGGCACGAGAACGCCGTTTCTTTCGAAAGATACCCAAGTCTCATCTTATTGTGCCAACACTTACGCTTTTTGACAGGGGCTCCCATTCTCTTTTTCGTAAGGTAAGAGGTCCAACTAATATTATTTTTTTCAATTTTTAGATTTTTACTAGGCATTACCTTATTCTAATCTCGGCCTCACCAAGGAATATTAGCAATAAAAGTTCATTTATTCAAAGTGAATCCATGCCTACAATGCAATCCTCGAAAGTATCAAATTCCTAAAAAGTGACTGCTCTTACCCCATTTGGGGCATATGAATAGTGCCAAAAGTGGCTCCTACAAAAAATTTCCTAAACTTAGCAAATTAATCCCCTAGTTTCCTAAACACCAAGACTATGTCAGAAATATTCACGGGTATGGTAACAGGTCATTTGGCTATGGAGCTCAATTATTTGGGTAAAGAATAAACGGTCAGGCTCAAAGTGGGATCTCCTAAAGGACTTATTCAGGTGGGATGGATTATTTATGAAATGATTCGATGGGTGATTAATGTCTTCATCCTTTCAACAACTAGATTATTGTGCAAACAATTTAAGCCTAAACACTTCAAAGATGTTCTAAAAGCATAGTCAAAACACCAGCCAGCTCAAAAAGACACAATTTAAAGAAAAATTTTCAAAATTTTTGACATGACTTCTCTATGAATATGCAACTATCACCTGTGCATGCTAAATCTAATGATCACATGTAACAACTACTGCCCGAATGCTCAATTCACTCCCCCACACTTAAACTTTGGCATCACCCTCAATGACAAAAAATACACTATGCACAAGGGGTAAAGAGGATAGGGTCACACATGCTCAACTCTACTCAAGTCAATTATTACAAACAGCCGATTATAAGAGTTGCAGAAACTTCCCTAAGGCGCTGGTCGGTGCAGAACTAAACTGAGTCAAGTTCCCCGACAACGACGCCAAAAACTGATGTGAGTTTTCTCGCACTTAAAATAGATTGTAATATAGTGATGTAAGTACAAGTATCGCCTCCACAGGGACGAACAAAAGGAAATCAAGAATTAATTAAATTCAACGATTAAAAATAAATAAAATAAATTCGTCATGCGAGATATGATTGGTTGCTGGAAAATCAAACTAATGCAAATGAGCGATAAAAATAAAAGATTGGTTTCTCTCTAATTAACGACGAAGGGAACAAGGACTGATTCCAGGGTAATAACTAGATTTCTGGCAGATCAGGCTTAATTACATGAAATTGAATTAATTGAGCCTAGCTAATCATTACTAAGTTCTTACCGTTTTCGCGGCGTAGAGTACAATAATTTAGGGGACCAGGCTCATCTCTCATGCGACAGGATCCTAAATTATTGCCAAGACGAGCGAGCTTACGGCTCCTTAATCGCTACTAATCTTTTAGCGAATGATTAAGTGTGTGTGAATGTGTCCTAGAATAAACTAGATCTCTATTAATTTATTCTATAAGCAATTGTAATTCTAGCCGCGGTTCCAGGTTACAAAAGATATTAGTTAAATTATTCAAACACAAATCATACGGCATTCATGCAATTAATCCATCAAGAATTTAGCCATGCATCATGATTAACCCCTTCATCAATCCCAAATCCCTAATTAAATTACTCACAATTCATAATTGAAGAATCAACAAAATTGGGATGAATAGAATTAATTGTCATTAATTAAAAAGATGAACTTACAAATAATCTCAGGTTCTTGGAGTAAATAATGATAAAAATGCAAGTAAATTCGTCCCTAGGCCTCTCCGTATTGTTCGTAACCCTCAAAAAGGGGTATGGAGGCCTTATTTATAGAGAAAGGGGAAAAAATCTAAATTTTGGCTGAACTGGGACACTTTTTCACGTAACTGGCCTGTTTTTCACGTAACTGGGACAACCCTTCAGGCACTATCGTGCGTGGCCTGCTTTTCACCGTTTCTCTAGTCTGAATTTGACAAAACTTCCTTCATAAAAGGTGTAGATAATGAAATCCTCTATCTACCACAACTTGCAGAATTGGATTTGACTCATCCAATCAAGAGATATGAATAAAATGGTGGAAGGTGGAATTCTGAAATTGCAACAAAGATCATCTGACTTCATCATCTGTTTTCACCTTGCTCCCCTTAGATTCTTGATAAGTTAGAATTTGTGATTAATTTTTGTAGCAATTCTATGCTTATTATTTGCCTAATTGAGAGGTTTGAATCTTACTTTTATCTTAAAATTGATTTTTACTGGTGTGAAATTTAACTGAAGCAATTGGGCTTATTTGGGCTCATTGAAGAGATTTTATTTCCAAATTCAAGAATGGGCCAATTTAAATTTGGAAGCTTTCACTTGTGAGAGTGAACTAGGCTGGAGAACAAAATTAAAGGAGGGTTAACTCTTTTATTTTGACTGATGAGGAAAATTGGAAAAAGAGAAAACAGCCCAGCAAAGTCCAAGAACAACTCTAACAAAAATGAAGAAAAAGAGTCCATGGAGCAGAAGGAAAGGAGGTAGACTATGGAATTCCTTTCATCAATTCTAAACGGCTCTTCAAATTGCGGCGAAGAGGACTCCTACTCTGGAACGGCAGCGAAATCTCAGGAGTTAGAGAGCTCAAAACGACTCTAATCCTTCGATATAAAAAGGCAGCATCAAGGGGTTTTAGGGGGCGAATTCTGGCCGCGAGGAGCGAAGAGCCAAGTACCGAAGGAGGTGGAAGGCTTAGACCTGCGTCTGGAAGAAAGCGGAGCTCCGAATTTCAGCCTCACCAGCAGTTTTAGGAGGACGCACATTTCATCAACCTGGCAGCAGTTCTGGCTTTCATAGCAATTTAATCCTCAAATTTTTCTTCTAAAAAGAACTCTGGTTTGATTAATTCTTTTTGTTCTGAAATTTAAGTGTACTTTGTTTGATCATACGTGCCATAGTTCAGTAAAGTGGTTACTCACAGTAATTGTTTGCTGATCATTAAGGCGATGAAGATGAACTCTCTATATATTGTTGTTTTACTCTCAACCAGTTTTGATATGAGTAGCTAAATTCTTTAAGTCCGGAATATGATGAAGTTGCTATGATTTAGTATGTAATTGTGATTTTAGTTATGTCAATTGATTGAGTTTTATCCATTGTTCATATTCTCTTAATTGACTATGTTAATTTCTGGACAACTTTAATATGATTAATTAAGTTGTTTGAGTGGATTAATAGAGTACATGCCATGCCTATTAGTTCGAGCTCTTTTGGATAACAGAATAGATAATAATTTAGCTTTCTTGTTAGGTTATCTATTTGGTTCTTAAATTGGGTTTCCGTAGTTCTTTTGTGATAAATGGATTTTAGCTATTCAATTAATAATTTTTTATTGATTAATAGTTAAAGTACATGATTTATTCTGGACGTCATACAGAATAGTCATATTTATGTCTAGAACGAACCGTCAATTTTAATTGACTAGCTAAATCGCAAATACTAAAGATTAGTGATTGATTCATAATCCCGGACTACTTTTTCTCTTGCTAAGTTCTCAATCAAATTCCCGTTAGTTGTTCAATCAGTTTATTTTTAATCCTTTAAATTCCTTGCATCCGTTTTAATTCAAGTTTAATTATTTCCAGCAAATCAAAATTTTCTCATGACTCTCCTTTTGTTAATTAATTAATTTCATTTTATTTAACTGTTTTCCAATTACTTTGTTGCATTTTCCCCGTAAATTCGACCCTTACTTGAGCACTATACTACCGTGACTCGTGCACTTGCGAGGACTATATTAAATTGTCTATCAATTCTCGCAATGGTGTCTTCATATGATTTGTAGCCCTTGAAGTTGGCTTTCATATGCAACTTGAATCGTGTCCTTTGGATGCTTCTACAACGAGATATGCTTGAACGATTGACAGAAGGTCATCCTGATCATCGTTTCCCAGCTTCATTATCTTCTTTTGATCCCACAGCCAATCCCGGAGCTCTTTGTCATCAAACCTTCATCGTGAACCTCCCGCTGACCTTCAGAGCTCTCAATCCACTCTCGAATGCATCTCGAATCATCCCAATTGCTCCTCAAGCGTCGGTGCCGAACTCTAAATTCCTGATTTTGACTCCAAATGACACAAAACTCGAACCAACGCCGGTAAACATAACTTGAGCTAAAATTGAAACTTGTAACACCTTAAAGCTAGGAAAACCATCACAAGTCGATCCCAACACGCATCAAATGCGTGTCAAGATACGGACTTATCAGCGCGACTGAAGTCAAATGTATGGAAGAGGTGGCTACAAGACTTTCAATAAAGAAGAGAGAAATTCAAATTTCTATCCATCAAAAGGTCAAAGAAGAAGAGGTTTTTCTAGGCAAGGTATGATGAACCTCAAGTTCAATGCTACAATTGTCAAAACTTTGGTTACTATATGTCTCTGATTGTAGATTGGAAAAAAATAAAGTTGAGGAGCGGACAAATTATACCAAATAAGAAGAAAATTCAACATTATTGATGGCCTATAAAGGAGGAGAAGTTGAATCCAAAATGACTTGGTACTCAGACGTGTGAGATAACAACCACATGTGCGGGAAGAAAGACATGTTCGTCAAACTTGATTGATCGATAAGTGGAAATATTTATTTTGGAGATGAATAAAAATTTCCACTAATAGGAAATTGGATATGGCCACAATATGAATATGTTTCAACCTTTAAGTTCATGCTTTATAATCCAACGTTAATTGCTCAAATAAACCGAACAATATAATCATACATTGTACACCGTAGTTAGTCACATTAAAATATAAAGGAAAGACCATAATAGGTTGGTTGAGAACATACATCATACACTTAGAGTGCGTAAAGTTTCATCCCTAACATTGGCTATGGAAAATTAGCTACAACAATTGAAATACTTGAATTGAAGTAAATATGAAAGAAAATGATATCACAACTCCAAAGCTACGGTGCACAAATGCTTCCCAAAATAAAGAACTTCTCTTAAGACTTAGGGGTGCTCTTGAGATGAAAATATAGGAGTAAAGTGTAGAAAATGTGACGATCCTTGATGAAGAGGCTTCAAAACTTTTACATAAGAGGTTTTCAACGGCTATTTTTGGACAGGAAAACAAGCTCCTTAATAGGTTTTGGCGTTTTCTCCCGAAAGATCATGAAGACTGTTACCTGTTTTAATCATATATCTGGCCAAATTCAGATGGCTTTTGTGAAAGCCGGACAACTTTATCTCTTAAAATATCAGGGGTATGCGTTCTAGAGATCAGAAACCAGACGATTTTCTCCAAAAGCCAGACAACGGTTTTGAATTAAATTACAAACTAAACTATGTCCTTGGAATCCGGGTGGGTTTGGGAGACGGCGAGCGGCTTTCGGGACCTTTGATTTTGGATGCCTTCCTTTTGTCTTGCATGGCTTTTAGACGCCTGACAGGCAAAAGCCAGATGGATTTCGTGGAAGTCAGGCGGTTTTGACTTCGTATTTGCAGTTTGATTGACTTCAGTTGTTCTTCAGGATGAGTTTGGTTGACCTTTTCTTGTCAGGATTGTTCGTGTGTTCTCTCATCCTTCTATTTGATATGATCCTCATTAAAAGTATTTTCTGACAAAACAAGGCAAATGTGTTATTTTTATACCCTTAAGTGTAGAAGTATTTGAATATGATTGTAAAAAACCTCTTAAGAAAATGCTTATCATCGGAAAACGTGAGTTTATTTTCTAAAACAAAATTCCAACATTTTTGGGGCCTTTAAGGAATTCAAAGCACTTGTAAATAAAAGCAGATTTAAATTAAAGTTCATGAGATCGGATCATGGGGGGTGGGGGGTTCACTTCAAAGGAGTTTGAATGTTTATGTGAAGAAAATGGTATTTATCGCCCCTTAATGATTTCATATACCCTATTTAATGATTTTTTGAATATAACTGTGCAGTTAAACAGCTCAGTACATTTCGGAAAATCATTTGTCTGCCTTCCCGATTAAAATTTTAGCTGAAATTTGGTATGAGTAAACTAGACTTAATGGAGAAGATGCTAAAAAAATTTCATCAAAAAATTCCACCGGGAACCTCCCCAATTGGCGATGGCCGGGGTGAACCTCCTATATAAGGGGTTAATTGAACACTTTAAGTTAGTTCAAGGGCCTATTTGACCCTTTAGCCAAGAATAGGGAAAAGTGTCAAATAGGCCCCCCTACTAATACGAAAAAGTCAATTAAGCCCCCGAACTCAAAAAACATCCAATTAAGCCCACGAACTAAATATAACGAGGCAAAACAGTCCTTTTAGCAGGATATTAACTGTTCCCAGTTAAGTTGCATGTGTGGTAAATGATGTGGCATGCTTTTACATTTTCTTTTTCTCTTTTTCTCTTTCTTTCCTTTTTCCTTATCTCTTTTTAACCACTTAATTACCTGCTAAAAGGACTGTTTTGCCTCGTTTTTTATAGTTCATGGGCTTAATTGAGTGTTTTTCGAGTTCAGGGGCTTAATTGACTTTTCTGTATTAGTAGGGGGGCCTATTTGACAGTTTTCCTGATTTTTTTATGTAACTTAAAGTTAAATGTATTCATTTTAGGAGGACTGTAAATTTTTGTTAGGAACCGAAAAAAGGTAAGAACCGAACCGAATTTAACTAGAACTGAACCGAATTTAACAAGAGATATTACCCAAAATGAGACTAAAAAAGTTTGGAAATTCCAAAATAGCACTTCCATGTTTTTATTCCCAAAATAAGACTAATTACTGTCATGTTTTGGCAGTACCAGATTTCAAACATGGCAGTATTTTCCAAATTTGGCAGTAATTAGTCTTATTTTGGGAATAAAAACATGACAGTCCTATTTTGGAATTTTCAAACTTTTTTAGTCCCATTTCGGAAACCTTCCCATTTCAAACAAGGGAAAGTTTCCGAAATGGGACTAAAAAAGTTTGAAAATTCCAAAATAGGACTGTCATGTTTTTATTCCCAAAATAGGACTAATTACTGCCAAATTTGGAAAATACTGCCATGTTTGAAGTCTGGTACTGCCAAAACATGATAGTAATTAGTCCTATTTTGGGAATAAAAACATGGAAGTCCTATTTTGGAATTTTCAAACTTTTTTAGTCCCATTTTGGGTAATAAACCATTTAAAATAACTACATTTTTTACTAGAACTAACCCAATTTAACCCCTACAATTTTCACATGGTTGCAGCTAATTTTAACAAGAACGGATCCCAGGCCTAGGTTTCGGTTATCCATTTGCGTCTGGATTGGCGATCACATTCGTTCATATCTACAAAAGATGACAATGTTACAGAGCTCGCGCTGTATACTCTCGCCAACGTCTCAGTCTTTATTCGCCGCCGATTCGCCGTACACTTCATTTGTGCCGTCCCAGAGAACAATTATCTCTAGACGCAGCCCTAGGTTCTCTAAGCTCAATGTTCTCTCCAAGCAGCACCAACAGTCGTCGATTGATAGTGCCAGTCATAACAAGGACGGATCACCCTCGGCGGAGCAGTTTTTGCAGAACAACTCGATTGCGGACTTCATGAGGTTCAAGCACCACTCCAATGTTGGTGAACGGCTGGCCGAGCTACAAACTGCCGTTGTTAGTTACAGGAAGAGGTTCCCTTGGTCAATCCTTCAGCCCTTTCTGAGGGTAATGAATTTCCTAGCTGAAAACCTGTTTATTTGTTAATGGTTTGAAAGATGCATATTTGTTTCACCACAAAAACATGGCTTCCTACTGACGATAGAGGTTACTTATTTTGTTCAGGTTGATTTGGTGTCGACAATACATATTGCTGATAAAGAGTACGTTTTTCTCAATTCAATGGAAAAATATCTGGCAGTGATGCCTAATTTTGCTTCATTTACTGAACCTTTGTATAATCCATGATGTTTGTTCAGCGGTCTATGGGGTAGACATATCCAGAGAGACTTAGTGCGGCCTTGTTAGTTATCGTTGATCTCTAAATTCCTTTGTTAGTTATTGAAATTAGAGTAGTTTAGAGTTTGATGAGTGCAAGTTAAAGAGAATGGGGCCTAGATGGTTGTCCTACTCTCTTAGTACATGCTCTCTTTGCCTGAACAATGTGATATGCTTTCTGATTTTTTGAAGATTTGGTAGATTTGGTCTGATCTTTATGGTTTGGTATGTATGATTCTCCTCTAATTAATCTAAATTAATTAAAATAAGTTAACACAAGAATAAGTAATTAGGCGAAAAGAAAAACCCCTTTATCCTGTTCTGAAGAGTGCTCTTTACCGAACATTCCTTAAAAATTTGTCTAAATTAATTAGGGTGTGTGTGTGTCATATGTGTGTGTGTGGAGTATTTCACTATGCACTAAAAGTTCTGAATATGTTTCCATTCCATCTTTTGTCTTGGTTATTGAGCTCTTATTTATTTTATATTTTTCTATATATTGGTTTCTGGTAATAAATTTGTTGTTTGCCATCAACTACGGACAACAGGAATTGTAAAATCATTACTACATCTGACTCGACAATTTGTTAAATTTGCAGGTACTTTGCAACCCTACAGAGGGAACTTGAAACATATGATTGTGTTCTTTATGAAATGGTTGCAAGTAGGGAAAGTTTAGAGAGTAAAGGAAATCTTGTTGTAAAAAAGAATCTTAAAAGTCTAAAAAAAGGGGGCTTCAATTTTCTTGGTTTCATTCAGAGACAGATAGCTAGAGTGCTTACAGTTGATTTTCAATTAGATTGTCTTGACTACCACTCTAAGAACTGGTACCATGCGGATCTTGACTTTGAAAGCTTTAAGTTACTTCAGGTAGTCTCTCTATTCCATATGGCACTTTTAAAATATATTTCATTCCTAGTTCTAGCTGCTTACTTCCCCAGGGTCCATGTGCCTAATTTACAGCCCTTTGAATATGGAAGCCTCTTTCATTTCAATTCCTCATGCCCCCATCCTTGTATTCAATCCCCTTTTTCTGAATGTAAGTGTATGTGAACTGATTTAATTAAATGATTATATGGTATCTGGAGAACCTTTCACTCTTTGATATCTCTTTCATATAAGAGAAACATGCTATCCAAGCATTGTATTTCACCCTAACAGTAATGTTCTACTCCGTATATAACAATATAAATTACGGAGTATAAAGCTTATGTACTTCATCTGCCCCATTTTATAAGTTTAACCTTCCTGATTAGTTCGTAACCCAATTATTTTTAGTTTTCTTTTTCAAACACAACTACATTTGAACTTACCTTTCTCTGATTTGACATTTTGAACTATTTGCACAACTTTTTATAAAAGTCGTTCACCCTTTAGAGGGTAGAATTGAAACTAATCATTTTTTCCCTTTAGTATGTGTGCATAAAACAATTGCGGTTTATATTTGGGACACAAGGATTAATTTGCATCATTAATGGCTTGATGCTAGCGTTTGCCAACAATTTGCTTTCTATTTCAGCAACAGAAAGGTGAGAGCTTCTTCACATTTGCTAGGGATATGACAATTAAATCTACACAAGCTGTTGTGCAATCTGCATCAATACCAGATGATCTTGGACTATGGAAATCCAAACTTCTGTGGGCTTCACGTGTGCTACCAATGCCTCTTATTGGGTTTGTCATCATTTCAGGAGTCTGTTTAGATATGGCGAGCCAGGCATCACAGTATCCAGAGCTAGAAGCACTGTCTAGGCTTGATTTTGGTGCTGCAATGAAACTTTTTCTGGCAAAGCAACTTACATCTGAGTAAGTGTACTCAGTATTCATGTAAATATTTTTCATTTGCTCAAAGAATAGGCACATTAGTGCATTATGGTGTTAAGAGAACTTTGTAATGCCCTGGCATGCCCCCATGCCCCATCAGTGGTTTAAATATGGACTTGGACTGGCCCGATGGACTGCGTACTAGAGTTACTTGCGACTTGGTCAAGCTAGATAGTAGATCGGTCATGCTGTTAAACCACTTGAAAGTGAAACCACACTACTGGGTCATTAATTGAACTGTTGAACCGTGCCTCTGTTGACCTGGCCCATTGTTTTTTCTTTTTCAAGAAAACCAGTTACGTCTGAAGAGTTGATGAAAGGATAAAAAACACAACCTCATCTCGTATTTATGTGCTCAATCCATGCATCTATTATGACAACCATGTATATTCCAACTTTCATTAAACACATGGCTTTTATGTATCCACACTCATTACTTGTACACTCAAACCACTACACTATGAAGTCAACCTTGTACACTTCATACTTATGATCCACATATACGGAGTACTATCTATGAATTATTTTAATCTAATACGATAGTATTCAATAAAATTAAATGGGCGATTCTAAATTATTTTATTTACATTATCAGTCACATATGTTTAACTCGATACATAGAGAATATGAATTATACTTGTAAAGCAATATACTTCGTATACAAGTAATCAAGTATAGAGTCCAAATATAACTATATATGTGTGTATGCGTACGTGCACGTGTACATGCGTGCTTACATGTGCGTATGTTCCCATAACTATATACTTTAGATTTATTTGTATATTGACTTGGTCGAGCAGTTCAATTAGTGATTTACCAGTTCGGCTATTGATCTTCTGACCCAGCCACCGGTTTGACAACCAGTTCAAGTTTTGAAATACCGTACCAGCAGCTTAATTGGTCGATCAGACTAAGTTAAAAGTGTGTGCTTAGTTGGCTGTGGAATGGGTACTAGTGTACAAGCAGTTGAAACTTGCGGGATGCATAAGGCAGTGAGGGTTATCTGCATCAATGAAATCTAAAAATGGCATGCAAACTGGGATGGGAAAATTCTAAAAATTGTTTTTTTCTGATACTTGGGTTTAGCTTGTGAATGAGGGGCAAAGGGCAGCCTGTTGCACAATTGCGTCCACACAAGGTGAGGGTTTGGGGAAGGGTTCCACCTCTCAGTCACATGACAACAGCATGACTGGTGGCATAGGCTGATCTTTTTGGGTTTAGCTTGTGAATAAAGGAGGAAAAACCAACTGTGATTATAACCTTTTAAAACATTACATATAAGATTTCCTTGTCTTGATGTATTGAATTTAAAGCCTTTTAAAAAAAATTCTCACATTTTCTTTTCTTATAAATCCCTCGCAATTTCCCCCTGTTTTGTTTCCATGGCATTTTCCCAGTTCCAATTAGACCCCAATGATAAAGCAATGGAATTTCGGAGCCCTCATGTATGGCGTAAATGTTGTCTAATTATAAGTAAAATGCCATGGTATTCCACATGCAGGTTCACACAGGCGACAGCTGATGTGGAGGCGGAATCCGTCGTAATAGGTGAGAGAAACAAGGCAGCAACAGAAGCACTTAGAAGGGCGATCAACAATGGCCACAGCAAGATAGCCATCCTTTACGGGGGTGGACACATGCCAGATTTGGGGCGTCGACTACGTGCTGAGTTTGACCTTTCTCCCTCTCAGGTACAGTGGATAACTGCTTGGTCTATTGGGGCGAGCAACACAACAAGCAGCAGCTCTTTCCCGTTTCTGAAAACAGTGGCTCAAGTGTTGCGATGGCCGATAAATAGATATCAAACACTCGCACTGCTAATATTTTCATCAGTCCTTGCGCTGGATCTGTTGCTATGGGAGCTGTTATTTGGCACCACAGCTAATTGGATTACTCGTTTTGCTTTTGACTCTTTCCAATAAGTTCACAATTCGTGATGATATTGGTTTGTGTATAGTACATAAGTTGTAGAAATGTGCATATGTTTTGAGTTGGAAAATGATAGGATATTAGGAGCAGGACAAGGAAAGGGTCCAGGAAAATGCGCCCTTCAGTTCTTGTTTGTTATTAAAGAAGGCAATGATATATTTCCACACCCTTGCCATGCTTTTATAGTTATTCATTTTAGTTATTTGCTGAGTTGTTAATTTCTGTGGTTCTCTAGATAAGATCTCTGTGTTCTAAAAAAGTTGTTTGATTGTAGCGATTCCTAGGTAAAAAGACAAAAAAAGACATTAATAAATTTTAGTACGGAGTATTTCTTTCTGCGAATAGTTTAGCCGAAAGTGTAAGCACTAACATTAAACATCACCTAGCCATAGCTTACAATACATTTAGAGAAGATTTGGTTTCTTCATAGGGGTGAAAGCCTGGCAACTCAGTAACATTTTTCATACCTGGTGACCCATCATCTCAAAGTAATAAAGTAGGATAATAATATACGCATTTGGCGATAGTTTCCCTGGGAGGATAAGGCCCGATGATCGTCTTTTCAGAGAAGGTCTGCCAAATAGGAAGTGGCGATAGTTTCCCTGGGAGGATAAGGCCCGACGATCGTCTTTTCAGAGAAGAAGGTCTGCCAAATAGGAAGTGAAGAATACGTTTACGGAAGAGAAGGGTAAGCGTGAGAAAAATAGAATTGCTAATCGTAAACGCTTTGATCCCTAGCATTTTCATTTTCGGCTGTTTGGGCCAAAACGCCATTTTAACACGCCATTTGCCAAACACTTAATTTCAGCGTTTTGACTGATTAAAAACGCTGAATTTGGTCAAATCCGTCAATTTTTGGCTGAAACGCCATTTACCAAACATGGCCATCATGTACGTATTTTTCTCTTCCTTATTTTTAGGAGTTGCAACTGGCGGTTACCATAAAGGAAATAATTCCTTGTTATTAGGAGCCAATTAATACGTTTACATGGATGTCGTGCAAAAGTGCAAAACTGATCGAATCCTTAATTTCAGAAGGAAATGACTATTTATTGATTATTGTGTGGAGGACATAAGTGGAACATGAAAAAAAAAACTAAGTCACGTGTATGACCATATACATTAGAGATATTACCCGAAATAGGACTAAAAAGGTTTGAAAATTCCAAAATAGGACTGCCATGTTTTTATTCCCAAAATAGGACTAATTAGTGTCATGATTTGGCAGCACTAGACTTCTAATATGGCAGTATTTTCCAAACTTGACAGTAATTACTCCTATTTTGGGAATAAAAAACATGACAGTCCTATTTTGAAATTTTCAAACTGTTTTAGTCCTATTTTGGGAACTTTCCTTATACATTATGCGAGTATCATCATAGGGAAAAAAAACTGATGGAGACATATATTGGGAACATCCTATTCTTGTAGTCATAAGGCTGACTGCAACCTGGGGAGTCAAAAGGCAGATTTGGGATTTTCATCCCTTAATTTGGTCCAACCCACGTATCCGAGGATGCCAAATTGGGAGAATGGCATCCCATGGAGTGAAAATTGGTACCATTATTCACCGAGAGAAGAGAGCAGCTAGAGCAACTGAGAGCATCTGCTATGAGTGGTCATTTGGGGATAAAAAAAAATAATCCACTTAATCCCCACTATGGGAGGTCACTAGGTTGATCGATCAACATGGAAGCTCACATATGGGATCTGACAAAAAATTGGAGGAGGCATATGATTAACCAATTAAAAAATGCCACGTGGCTTTTTAATTTAGAATGAAGTCACCAACCTTATCAAACATCCCCACATTCTCTAATTTCATTTATTATTGATTAAATTTAATTTATTGTAAAAAAAGATTACACCAAAAAATTAGATATTTTTTTCTCTATAAATATAGACCAATGAATGATGTGTTTAGTCACTTCTAAATTTACCATTTCTTTCCCTCTTGCATTTTATTTTATCTGTTTTAGAATAGTTTTTCTTTGAAAATAGATCCAACTCCTTCTCTAACTAGATACAATCTCAACAATAAATTATAGTGAGTAAAATGTGAATTTTATATTCCTTTATCAAATTATATAAATTAATAATGGTAGAATATACCAAAAATATGGAGAGAGAATGTACAAATTTTAAGTGACCTAGATCACCATAGTGGGGTGAAAGTATGATAGGTTATAAGAGCATCTTTAATGGTATCGTGGATTGTATCTTGTAAAAGATGGACATGTCATTTATGTAGAAGGCCCGTGAAGCTGACGTGGACACACAGACATTGAAAATATTATTTGTGCTCCAATGCAATCCTAAATTAAAGAATGAATTTATATTCACACCACATCTTCCGTTTATGAAATTGTCATAGGCTATTACGGAGCATAACTTCTCTTTCAAATATCTTCTTCTCCAAAGGAAAAAAGAGATGTGCGAACATATTTGTGCGGTTGTGCCACTCCAGATTGAAGTTAGCAGGAATTAGGTTTATATATACATCATCTATGTTTATACGAACTACGAATGTGAAATTGGGTTCAGATGTGTAGATTTCCTAAATTGAACTTTTGTGAATGAAGTGAAATTGGCTTTAGCCGATTAATTTCCTATCAATGACATATTGACATGGATGCTTCAATTTGAGCATTGAGGAAAGTTGCAGAGAAATCGTTGGCATACGGCGGGTTTCCTTCTCCAAGATACGAAACTAATTAATTTTTGCTGAGTCAGCATGTCTAAAAGACCTGCTAGAATGAGAAAGAGCAATAGAGAATGTCGATTTTTTTCATTTCCAACTCAGCACCACTATATAAATAGACATTGTCATTGGAGAGGATTTTCTTATCCCAATGTCTATTTAAATTACGCGGCTTTGCATTTTGACCAATTGATAGCACCACTAAAGATGCTCTAAGTGATTAAGTTTTTTGTGGAAAATGATGTGGAAGAGAGAGGAGGGGATCAATACTCATTGGCATTGTGGATGCTCTGAGCAAGTGCACAGTACGTTCCATAAGATTGACCCATCAATATAAATATCCCAATTTTCTTAAAGATGATTTAACTTTTCTATTTTTAATCCAATTTTTATAAAAAATATATCAAAATTCATAATTTTTAATTATCTTTCATATGACATCAATATGGCTTATATGATCGTATAAAATTTTAAAAAATATACTTGGTATGAAGTTTCATCTGTTTGAGATTTTTAGGCCCAAAATTTTAGAGATCCTAATTTATTTATTTTTACATCGAAATGTTTGATATTTTAAATCATAATTATTCATAAAAAAAATAATAACAAAAATTGATATATAATAATAGGGAAAATAGCCCCAAATAGGACTAAATTAATGCTGAAATTCCAAAATAGGAGTAGTATAATTTTATTCCCTAAATAGGACTTTTCTTCCAATTTTACCCCTAATCATTTAAACCCATCTCACACCCTACCTGTCATTTTATTTTCACATCGATCTCAATTCAACCTGGCCGCATCTTTGTGCGCAGCAGATTGCTTGGCCTCAACCACGAGCAGCAGCAAGCCCCGGCGGAAGCAGCAACGTGCACCGACTAGCGGCGGCAACGTGCGCCGGCGAGCAGCGGCAGCAACCACCAGATCTCCTCTTCCTCTTACTCCTCTGTTTCTTCAAATTTCCCGTCTGGATCTGGTGTAGTGGTGATGCTAGGCTCCGAGTTCTTTTTCTCTCTTCTCATTTGGAATTTTTAATTGCTCTTGAAGGATGCAAACGGGGTTTTTAATTAGGTTGTTAAAATTTCCAAATTTTTTAAAAATGCCATAATATTGGCATTTTTACTCTTTAAAAATTTCGTATTTTTCTTACAAAATGCCATTAAAATGGCAATTTCGATTTATGTTGGCATTCTATTCAAAATTTTGGCATCAGTGGTGGCGTCCGTCGGATCTGTGGTAGCAGCAGCCGGATCGGCGGCTGGATCTGCACGGTCGGCGGTCGATGGTCAATAGAGGCCAGATCTGCTTCGATCTAGGAAGATGGCGGCCAGATCTACGACGGCGATCAACAAATCTGCAGCAGCGGCTAGTTTTGAGGTTGCGGCGGCTGAAGACGGCATCCGAGACCGGCGGTGGACGGAGGCGGCCGGCGGTGGCTGGAGGCGGCCGCATGTGTTTGGAGGCAGCTGGTCATGCTCTTTGTCGGTGGGAGTCCGTTTGTCAAGCTTCTGGGGGTATTTTTGTGAGGCTACAAATAATAACTCCTATTTTGGGAATTTTTATACTTTAATCCTATTTTGGCAATTAAGAATATAATCACTCTCATTTAGGTAAATCTCCCATAATAATAAAAGGAAGGATTCAATTAAATAATTTTTTGCGGAGTGGGTATATTGACGGTGCTAGGTTGCGGGAAAAAATGAATTGACTGGCTAAATACAGATTGGATTTATTGATAGAGAGAGTTGGGGTTAGTCTAAGGGAGGTAAGTTTCTCTAAAGTGAACCCCACCTAACATTATTGAAAGTTTGAAACCTAAAAAGCTAAGGGTAGGCTCGGCCGTGTTCAGAATACATGACCGTTTATACTCCGTAGTTGTGAGTAGATCTCTGAACGGCCCGAATGTAGGTACAAGGTCAGCTATATACCATTTTATTGAAAAAAGATTGAAATAAACCATTTTATTTTTCAAATATTTGCCCAAAAATAAAGCAACCATGTACATACGAGTTTTTTCCCGAAATAATGCTAATTAAATAAATAATTCCCAAAATACTGTTGCGTTAAAAATAATTCCCAAAATACTGCTGTGATTACTACGGTTAAGAAAAGGCGCCACTTCAAGTGGCGGCTCTTGTGTTGACTGCAATTTTAGAAGCAAATATTTTTCGTTTAATAATGGTAGGAATTTCATCCCGTATTCATGCCCACCCATTTCTTCCTTTTTGCCTTCCAAATTTACCAGCTTCCCCCATTCGAGCAAAGCATATCAAAATCCGATATCGCCACCCCTTCCAACAACTTCTCCTCCTCGTGTTACATCACCGCCAGCTACACCATATATCCTCCATCCCTATCCTCTTTCTCCGTCCCTCTCTATGACAAACAAACATATAAACAATAAAAGATTAAAGGTATATTTTATGGATAAACAATTATATTAACAATTATTAGTAAGATAGAATTAACAAAACAAAAAAAAAGAAATCTTTATGATCAGG